ATAAGCTCAGAAAATTGATAAAAATAAAATAAAATTGCAGCATGCAGTTCCAGATTGCAAATTGCAGATTCTAGATTGCAAAATGCAGTTCCAGATTGCAAATTGCAGATTCCAGATTACAGATTGCAGCATGCAGTTCCTTGAAAGATTCTTCTATGCAAGTTGAACATTCATTTACATATTGTATATACATAAGAATCACATGCCATTGAATTAGCTCAGGCCAATACTTTAACAAAGATGTATTCATAAACAAACAAATATCATAACTGAGATTCTCTTTACATGAAGAAAACTGGACATTTGTAGACAACCAGACTAACAAAATTGATCAGGAAAATCTTATTAATAATCAGACATCATTTACTCTACATTAATTAGGCACCAAAATGCATTCAATTTAAAGGAAAGAGTTAGTCTCTTGAGATAATCAATAATCGTAGAATAACAAACTCAACTACTATAATTGCCAAAGGAGAAGACAAAATCTAAAAAATATGAAGATAACAAGCAACAACTTATGCGGATATGGAATTGAAAGTCATAAGATATGAACAACTTTAAGGGGCTCATAAATTTGAGCTTAGTCAAACTCATTTTACTTGAAATGAATACATTGAAGCTAAAGTAACAACTAACAAATATTATTGTGCAGGAACAAACCAACAGACAAGAAGTGCAGTACCTATGATCTGGTCTCTGTTGTTAAAAGGCAAAGCCCCTTCTTCTATCAAGTGAGCAAGAGGATTCACACACTTTTATTTAACTAAATCACAGGCCGAACAATTAAGAAATTCAGTTTGTGAGAACTCACAAACTTTAATTTCTCTTATAATTTTCTTTGAATATAGAGTACTGATGTATATGTTAGAATGTCTTCTTATGATCTTTTTGTTGATACCAGATTGTTCAGACTTTCTAGTATACTACACATTATTTTCGATGTTAAATCATGTATTTTTTCCAGGTGTCTAGACCCCACATGACAAGCGAGGTCTATCTTGATGGAGCTGTGGCTTGATACAAGGGTTTCTTACACTTAATCCGAAGAAACAAAGAAAGATCAATTGATAGCTTCTCTGTTCCAACTTATGATATCGACCTTATCTGGCACACTCATCAGTTACATCCTATTTCTTATTGTAAAGACCTTGTTGATATTATGGGTAAGGTGTTAAATCATGATGATACAGATTCAGACTGAACAACAAAGACCAGATCAACACAAGAGAAGACAGGGCAAGACCAACAATATCAGCCTAAGGCACAGTCAGGTAAGACACTTAACTCTACTATTCCTACTCATAATAACTATAATAATCTTATTGTGCAGGAACAAACCAATAGACAAGAAGAACAAGAAAACTATCTTCACAATTTGATACATCAATAAATGAAATACATCAACAAACAAACAAAGGATGATTTGAATGAGGAACTAGACAAAGTTGAGGAAAATATAGTTGAGAGGTTTAAAAGAGAGAAAGAGAGAGAAAAGCCTCAAGGAACTAACAACACCACAACCCATGGCAAGTGAAAACCTTCAGAGGTTTCTCAATATAAATTTCAGATCAGTCATGCCAAAACTAGAGCTACTTTGAATGATTCAAACATTAAGTTAGAAAGCTTGCAAATTAACTGCATCAATAAGGCAACTACCACAAAGAAGACTTTCAGAAAAACTGAGAGGACTAATTAGCCAACTATCACAAATTTACAATCACATAGGATATAGTTATTTAGGATAGTAATTTGCTAACTTATTGTTCTAAAAAAAGAACATTAGAAAAAATACGAAATACCTTTTGAAGAATCGAATCATGAGTTGACCCAGAAGAATGTGGAAGATTTTAGCCTTTTACAGCTTGTGCACTACTCGCATCAATAGGTGAAGCAATGTTTCATCCAACACACGTTGGCATATCTCGAACATGGGTTGTTTTGAAGCAATTGACTAAGGAAATGTCGCATTTTTTCTCTCATTTCATTCATTTCTTATTTTAGAGAAGTGATTTCACTGGCATGTTTCTGTTTTAGCTCGTTAGTTTTCTCATCTTTCTTCAAAGAACTTGTTCTCACTGATCTACCATAGCACCTTATTCGACCAGGTTGCTCCTTTCCAAACACTGCTGTAAAAGCATTATCTGTTGTTTCCCCGGAATTTTGGTGATTCTGAAGTTCAGCCTATTGAATAAAATTGACATCCATATTAAATGTAAGTACTTCTTTATTTCCAGCTTAAATGAGTTTATGATTCATTAAGTTAACTTTAATTGACATTCCTTCCAAGCAAACTGTCCAGCGACTCAAGCATATTAAAATAAAATTATTACCCTCCCAACAATATATATCTTTTAAACCTGAATTAAATTCATCACTAATCCACTTTTAAAAATTTACTATTGCAACTTGAGTATCTGCCTAAATTTCCTTTCCCATCTTTGTACTAGTTGCAATAAACATTTCACACTTTGATGGTTCCTCATTGTTTTCTTTGGTTGCAAGCTACAAATTATATCAAAAGAGGTAAAAAAATGTATGGACGAAGATGATACAGTGGACAGTGGTTAGAAAAAATAGTACAAACAGATGAAATTCATTTTTTTACGAAATGTCTGCTAAGTATTACCAATGCCATGCGTACTCTTGAAAAATTAATAGGTCCCTTTCGATGCCTCAACTTTTACTTTTTCCTGTTTTGAGAATTCATCTCACACAAGTCCTATAATTAAATAAAAAGAGATGTTTGAATTAAAAAATAAAACAAAAGAATAATAGATATGATGCAAAATAAGTTGAATAGTAGAAATGTACTATTTTAGCCTTACTTGAACAGTTGGGTGTTTCCAATACTCTATCAATTGACGGAATTGACCTTCTGGCATGTCATCAGGACGTTTTGCTAGCATATCCTCAACGGTACTATTTTTATCAAAACATCTCTCTTTAATTTTTAGCTTGTGTCACCTCCAAGCATCACGAAGACCAATCATCACCCAGTTCTTTCCTTCTACTAGAATTAGGTATTCGGACTATGCAAAATAAAATATATTTATCTTCAGCCAGTAAAAACAAACAATAAAATATTCAATCATAAAATTGATTGTTCTTAGATTGATATATTCCCACAATGCGTTTTTTAGTATCTTTTGGCACCGCATGCCAACTAGTGTACATCAAGTTGATGAATCTAGGATTCCTTGAAATTGTTCCTATAAAGTTGGTTAATTCCAACACTATCTTACCAGTTGGTCCCACTGCTTGTCCTTTATCAAATGTCACCTCCTTTCTTTCTTCCAAATTTCTTGAGTGAATATCCTTACATGTTGTTTTCCTCGGACTTTTTTCAGCTCCAATATTCCTAGATTTATGTAACAGAAAGGAAATACGAAATTTCTTTTATATAAGTAATAAATCTTACAACGCTTAAGACATACCTTCTGTACTACAATCAATGCCAATTTTCTCATCTATAGCACACTCATCCCCGCGGATTTCTTCTTGATCCACATGATCATCAGCTACTGTGTGGTTATCAATTTTTATTTCATCACCTATGTGTATCACTTGTTTTTTTTTAAACTGATCAAGACTAGTAGCTGGTATAACCGACTTCCTCTTTACCTGCTTGCAGTTTGGTAGATCATTAACATCATGTTCTTTTTATAACTGTTGTTCTTCCAGAAACTGATAAAGACTTGTGGCTGGTAGGACCGACTTCCTCTTCACCTGTTTGAAGTTTAGTAGATCTTGAATATCATGTTGTTCCTTTGCATTACCAAGTGTTTCCCCAGTCATATGTACTGAACTAGTAACACCTTTCTTGGAAGACGTTTGGAACCTAAAGTTGTGCATAGGAAGTTTAATTCCATTCTCTTGAATGGACTCTCCAGATTGAAATAAGCTCTTTTTATTTTGTCCTTTCCCAACAACCATATGTGAAGTACCAAGCTCTTCCCTTGAAGACGATTGAATTACTGATTTGTACTCAAGAAATTTACTCTTTCCTTGTTGTGGAATGAAATCGTCAGAATTCTTTCTTTTTATGCGCTATTGGTGCATGCTCTTTCTTAGCTTTATCATTGCGTTCGTTAGCAAGTTGTTCTCTCTTAATCTTGAATTGGTTAGCCAATTCAGTACTTGTTCAGTATTGCATATCAAAGTTCAGATTCTTCAATGGACTTTGAGCTTTATTCGGATTCGAACCCTTTTTCTTTAGTGCTGTTGATTGACTCATTCTTCCCGCTTTCTTTTAATCTCTTTATTTTCTTTCCCTACAGTAAGTTAACCTACAAAACAATAATTAGGTGATTGTTAAATAGAAAAAGCAAACCTACAAAGAGAAGAGGTTCTAGTCTCATAATCATATACGTTCTAGGATTATTAGATAGAAAAAGCTACAGAAATCTAACTTCAAAAGATTTAAATGTGTTGCCTTCTCTGTGCTAATGAGAACAAGTAGTGAACTAATCATTAGCTTCCAGAAAGATAAGGGAGTACTACACACAGAGGACTGATTTTACTGTGCTGCCTGTAATGTTCAATGCCTGATAATGATAGGAAAAAATAAGTATTTAGATAACAACAACAATTCACATTTACTTATCAGAAAGTAATTTGATAATTGTAACATGAATACTCCAGATATTACTAGCCTTAGTCATACAAGTTTGTGCCAACAAATAGTCAAATAAAATAATAGTAAGCTAGAATTACAGGTTCATGAACAAAACAATAATTACATAAATTAAAGAAGCCAACATCAATTACTGACCAAACAACAATCAGGTGCATAACGAAGCCAACAGAATACTTAGATATCTTAAGGTGTTTGTACAAAAATAGTTAAATAACAAAAAGAGTTAGTTAGCACTATATGGTCATCACAAAAATAATAAAACTCATGGCGTGTCATCTTCAAACTCGTCTTCAGACTCATCGTCCGACTCATATTCAGAATCATCTTCATACTCATTTTCAGACCCGTCTTCACACTCTTCTTAATACTCATCTTCAAACTCATCTTCAAAATCCTTTTCATACTTGACCTCAAGTTGTTGAGTAACAAATTCCTCTAAAGGCACATTAATAACAGTTTTTGGTACATCAGTCCTTACTAAAGGAACGTCACCATCATCTTCTGGTATGGATGTTCCTATCAAGTGTTCAGACAACTCATTTTCATAACTTTGTGGGAGATCAGATTCAAATTCATCACTCATGTTAAAAAAGTCTCTCAGAACAGTCTTCATAACATAATGTCTCTCTTGATCAAATGGATCTTGCACATACAAGCATTGATGTACTTGAGATGCAAGCACAAAAGGGTCTTCCTAAGAGCATCTCTTGTTAAAATAGACATAAGTAAGGCCATAAATATCTTTTTCAACCTCATATCAATCACACTTAAACAAAACAACCTTAAAATTACTATAATAGTCTAACTCAACTATATCAACTATTCTACCATAATAAGTCAAATCTGCAGCAGTTGGGTTCTTATCCTTTGAGCTTGCAAAGCTCGTAGTTGAGGCAAAAAGTGTAACACCACTATTTTGTGTTTTACGCCTTGCATCACGCTGCCTAATATGGAATCTATATCCATTAATGAGATACCCAGAGTATCTTTTAGCAATAGAATTTGGTCCTCTAGACAATTGTTTTATCAAATTAGGCACATCCTCTTGCAAAGAACGAGTTTCAAACCATTGAGAGAAGTTTTGACAATGATTCTTGGCCTTGCTCCATTTAGATCTTCGCGACTGATTATTAACCTCTTTCTCATGCTCTTTACACAACATGTACTTTTTTGGTAAAACGATAAAAAAATAAGTTAAAAATTAATTATACAAAAGAAAATACTATATTAAATTAAAGTACCTAATATATTCTTGAATCTCATCACAATTTCCTAACAAGTATGCATGTGCCTGACTTAGTGTCTTGTTATCTAAAATAAATGGATCAATTTTCATTGCTCCTAAAGGACATCCCTTTTTAGAAAACAAACTCACTGTTTCTGCATCACTTGGGTCACATTCATCATTATTTCGGGCTCTTCTGTTAAATTTGGTTTGTACAGCCCCATGCCAATATCTAGAAAATAAATTCATACAGTATATTCCCACACGTGCCTCTGCTATGCAACCTTCTGGATAACATCTGTTGCAGATATATGATTTGAATGTACCCATTTCTCTTTCAGTGGAATACATCCATCGGTTCTGAACTGGACCACCTAATCTCACTTCATTCGCCAAATGAATAGGAAAATGAATCATTATATAAAAAAATGATGGAGGAAAAATTCGCTCCAACTGATTTATTGTTTCTTTGATCTCTACTTCTATGAAATCTAGTTCCTCCAATGTGATAACTTTTTGACACAAGCGTTGGAAGAAGGAACATAGATGAATCAAAGCAATAGCCACATGATCTGGAAGGAAGCTTTTAATTGGTATTGGAAGCAAGTAATGTAACATGAAGTGAGCATCATGGGTCTTATAACCAGACAATTTTCTTTCATCCAGCTTCACACACCTACATATATTGGAGGCACTTCTATCAGGTAGCTTGGCTGTCTTTAAAACTCCACAAAAAACTGATTTCTCTCCATTTTTCATTGAGAAGCAAGCTTTTGCAAACTTTGTTCTCTTATTATCTCCAGTATCTTTTGGATGAAGATTCTTTCTAATTCCCACCTCTTTCAAATCATACCAGGCTTTTGCATGATCCTTTGTTTTGCTAGGCATATCCAAAAGAGTTCCAAGTATGCTATCAACTATGTTTTTCTCTATGTGCATTACATCAAGGTTGTGGCATAACAAGTTGTGCTGCCAATAAGGTAATTCACAAAAGATTTACCTTTTTTTCCATGGGCCATCATTTGATCTATTTCTCTTCTTTCCAAACACATTTTCAAAATCAGGTAAGCTATTAAGCACGTAAGGTCCTTTTAATAAAGGTGGAGGAGCCCTGAATTCAGTTTTTCCATTGAGAGATCTTTTGTTAGATCTCCATGGATGATACATAGGTAGAAAAATACGATGATTAATATAACACATTTTCTGACTATGCTTAAGATAGTGAGAATTAGTGTTATAGTTACAACAAGGGCAAGCAAACTTTCCTTTTGTACTCCATCCAGAAAACATAGCATATGCAGGAAAGTCATTGACTGCCCACATAAGAGCTGCTCGCATTTGAAAAGTTTGATTTCTTGAAGTATCATACATTTCAACCCCAGAATCCCACAACAATTTGAACTCATCTATCAATGGTTGTAAGTAAATATCAATGTCATTTCCAGGTGATCGTGGCCCAGGTATAAGTAAAGAAAGTATAGAATATTCAGATTTCATGCACATCTAAGACGGAAAATTATACGCCATCAACATAACTGGCCATGTGCTATGAGAAATATTCATGGTTCGAAATGGATTGAACCCATCACTTGCTAATCCAAGTCTCACATTACGAGAATCTAGTGCGAAATCTGGATGGAACCTATCAAAATCATTCCATGCTTGACCATCAGCAGGATGCCTTAACTTTCCATCTTTAGAACGCTCCTCGTCATGCCACCGTAAAGAATCTACCGTCTTTGAGCACATAAATAACCTTTTGAGTCTAGGAATTAATGGAAAGTGTCTCAAAGTCCTTGATGAAACTCGATGTGATTTTTTAGAAGGCTCAACCTCACTATCAACTTCAGGATTTTTAATATATCGTGAAGCTCCGCAAGTATGACAAAATTCATCATCTTTATGATCGAATTAAACAACATGCAATCATTTGGACATGTATCAATTTTCTCATAATCAAGACCGAGATTCTTAACCATAGACTTGGTTTTATTGTAAGACGGAGGAATGTTCAACTCGGGCGTCACCTCTTTTAATAACTCTAAAATAGAAGTGAATGATTCATTGCTCCATCCATGTAGATACTTCAACAAATATAAATGAAGTGTGAATGATAATTTAGAGAATCCTGGACAACCAGGATATAATTCTTGGCTTGCCTCTTCAACTAAGTTATAGTATTTCTTGGCATCTTCATTTCAACCATCATAAACTCCTTCGGCTTGTGCAACATCTCTAAATTGATCATTCAACAACCCATCAATATCATCACGCGAGTAATCCATATCATCGTCAACATTCAACTTGATATCCCATTCCCCATGATTGATCTATCTAATATAACCTTTAACAAATCCATAGCATATTAGATGATCATACACTGCATTCCTTCAAGTCCAACGAATATTACAACATTTTGCACATGGACACTGAATTTCCTCTCCTTAAGAATCTCCATAAGAGTAAGCAAAATCTAGGAATGACTCAACACCATCAATATATGGTTTGCTATACCTTGCTAAATCCATCCAATCCTTGGATAAGATATTTGAATTCCTAGAAGAAGATATCAATATTTAATCTTACAGTAACAATCATTAAATCATTAACTACTTCACAAATAAGTTTTAAAAGTAATGTGTAAGTTATCAATCAGGTGTTATGAGGTGATAAAAGTTTCATACCTAGTGATGGCGCTTGTGCTATGCCAAATCAAACCTTGAATCCTCCACTAATGTTTCTGAATGTTGATTATACTTCTAAGGAAATATAAGTAAAATTAATAGGATAGACACAATTAAGAAAGAAAGTAAATTAATAGGATAGAAACAATTAAATGAACAAGATTAAGAATTCTATCGAGAAGCAGGTTAAAGTTGTAAGAAGCATTTTAAAGAAGTTCAATCACTTTATTTAGAAGACCAAAAGTACAATATAGTGTGAAAATCCTTTTGACTTTTTAAAACTGTCCAAAATTTTAAAATCTCATTCTTGTGCACACACCCAATCAGAGAATTATCAAACATCTACTACCATGTTTAAACATCCAAGCAAACATTACAATGATCCTATAATAGATAGTCGATCACACCAAAAAACTTAAAGTTTCATAGAGTTTATTCATTCTAAGTTATCCTTGACTTGAAGCAAGATTAGCTATAATCTTGGATCCTAAAGGGTGAAATATTACTTATAGAAGGATTGTTAATAAGAAGAAGTTGTGAAATTTTTCAAGACTCTAGAAGTGTTCAAGGCTTAACAGAACCCTGCGATAAGGTTTACTGGAAACCTAATTTTAAAAAGAGTTCATTAATTTTACTTCGAGTGTTATGTAGCCTTCCAAGTTCTAAAATTAGGAAGAAAACAATTAACATGATCTAAAGTAGGCAAGTTGAACTAGTTTTAAGGCTAAAGTTGACTGCATTTTACAGAAGGAAAAACACACCCTGATGAATGTTATATGTGCCATCAGACAATGTTGGAGAGTGCTAGGCATCTATTTTTGCACTGTAAAGTATCATCTGGCATATGGTGTGTGTTCTTATCAATTTTCTTATCTACTGCAATTAACTATCAAGACTCACCCTGTAATCTGAACCTGCCAGGACTACTCGATCACTTAGCATCCTTCATAAAAAATTATATAATCTGAACCTATGCACCTCCCTTATTTAGAAACATACCAGTCATATTCAACCATTCTGCATCAAAGTTCTACCTCTTGAACCTTGTTCACAAGCAATCAGACTATGTCCAATAGCAGAACAAAGTTCTGCTTCCTGAACCCTTTCTTATTCATTTCTTTTGTGTTCTGATTTGTATAGAAGTTTGTTGCTTTGGTATATTGAGTTACAATATTTGTTTAGATTTTTTTAGTCTTGTTAGAAATTTACAATAAAATAGAAAATGTATATTACTTGTTGTACTAGAGAAGCTTAAGTGGAGTGACATGAATAGTAAGGATTCATATACTCGAATTTTGGCTCAACTGAACCAATTTTTATTTCAAATTCTAATTCTAGCTCTTCAGGCAGTGTGAAAAAGGAATAGTTTTATTCTCTTAATCACTCATTTCACAACAGTTTTGCACAAATGATTCATTTGTTCCAAGCAACCTCAAGTCATTTACTTACAATGAACTGAAAAATGCACCTAGGAACTTCCGAGCTGATAGTCTTCTTGGCGAAGGAGGTTTTGGTTACATCTTTAAAAGATGGATAGCAAATTGCAGATTTGCAGATTGCAGATTTGTCAATATGCAGATTGTAGATTTGCAGATTTATAGCAGATTGCAGATTTGCAGATTTGTAGCAGATTACAGATTTGCAGATTTATAGCAGATTGCAGTAGCTATATCCAACTCGAACTCCATCTCAGGCCAAAGAACAGGGGCATCAGTAGAAATATCCAAAGATACTCTAATGCAGACATGTAAATCAAGATAGCAGGCGCACCAAACAAAGCGTAGAAAAAGTAGAAACTCAACTCCAACAACACCAAGACACTCTACTGCAGACAGGTAAGTCTCATAACTATGCTTCTAGTCAAGTTGATAAGACTAATTCTGAAACTCAAGTTGTAACATCTCAGTATACTTACCAGTATACTTATTCACTCAAAATATCTCCCATATAAAAAAATGATACTTGAATCTAATTCAACACCAAAAACTATATCACGAGAAACTCAAGTTTATATAAGTAGACCATCAGTCAAAGTATTTTATGAAATTCAGCAATTATAGTTTAATAAGCTTATTGCAAACCAAAGAATATATTTTGTACATAAAACCACTTTTTAATTCGTTAATGTTGAGTTAATTTGGAATGTAGGAATAACCAAATCAATATTGACATGGGAAAAAAGATTCAGAATAGCCGTTGGAATTGCAGAAACTTTGAATTACCTACACAATGAATGTTGAAGGCTTGGTATTCACAGAGATGTCAAATCATCAAACATTCTTCTCAATGATGATTTTGAACAACATGTGTGCTTTTCAATCTAACAGATAAATCTGTGATTATTTTACGATTGATTTGGTTATATACATATATTTTATATTATCAGTAGGTAATTAGTACACCAGAAGTATCCTTAAAACTTGTGATCTTAAACATATCCGAACAATTGTATAGCTATAAGAACATGTTTTTAAGGATAAGATACGAAAAATGTTGTGTCCTTACCCAATAGGCAGCAGTAAAACCATCTACAACAGAAATCGTGTTCTTCGGCACTTTATTTCCATACTTTGGAATTTTAGCTGTAACTCGTGATTTGTTCCATTCCAACAAACCCAAAGTAATCAATTTCTTCTAAACACAAAACAAAAATTAGTAGAGAATAAGAAGGAATCTCGGCTGTTGAATATGGACTCATAAAATCTAATGGTGTTCATGACATACAGAGAAAACAAATCTAAAACCCCAACAAAACTTAAATCAAAGAAAATGGACTTATAAAATTGACCAATTTTTCCCACCATGTACTTCAACAATCAGACATTGTAGGTAATTCAATATGCAAATACATTTCAATGCATTATGGACTAAACAGAGTGGTGAAGAAGAGACATTGGCTTTTGGAATGACCTTAACAACAACTTTCTGACCCTTAAGTTCACCTTTCTTGACAATAGCAGAAAAAGTATACCTAAAATGGCCTCTACCCACTTCCTCCCCAATTTCATACTTACTCTCAAATTGCTTAGAAAATCCAAAACTCTTACCCAAGTTAACCCCCTCAGTTTCCTCTCCTTCAGGAATACATGCAACATTAGGCTTAACACTACCTTGCCGTCTCAACAACAAAGCTTTAATATGATTCGCTGGAGAAGGAGGAGGAAAAGGGCGTTTAAACAACCTCGCTGGAGTAGAGGTAATTTTTAGCTTCATTATCTTTCTAGGTTTCAACGACATTTGGTGTTTCCGGTGGGGGAAGAATTTCTTGTGGGGAATAAAGATTGGGTCTTGGAGGTTTTGAGGTACAAGCATCCTGGTGATTATTACAACAAAACCCTACACATACAAGTGTGAAAACATAGTTATAAATTCAAGAACAAATAATCAAGAATTGGGTACTTACGCTTGACGAAATCCGATATCGGAGAAATCGTGGTCACTTCAGCTCCTCAGTTCTTAGCTTCAGCTCTCTAGTTCTTAGCTTCAGCTCGCTCTTCAATTCTCTAGAGAAAAGTGTGTTGGTTCTTCAGAGAAAGAGAAAAGTGTGTCGTTTTTATGAATTATTTTTTTTGGCCAATACAAATGGGAGGGAGAGTTAAAAATGTTGGAGGGAATATAATATTTTAGTGAAAAATTTAAGGACACACTTGTAATGTGTTTTTTTTATAATTATAAAAATAGGACATTTTAAAAGTGTGGCCATATTTGTAAATAGTTGTTGCCAATTATATCATACTGTAACAACGCTTATAAAATGTAGCCTATACCAATAAAGAGTACGCTTTACAAGTGTTGCCAATATTATCGAAGCTAAAAGTTAAAAACTTGGGCTACACTTTAAAAGCGTTCCCAAAAGTATTTTGGGCAACACTTTACAAGCGTTGTCCAAATTTAGGGGTGCCGTAGGCCTAAAATGTTGTAGTGTGGGCTATCCCATTTTGCCAAAATTCTGGAACAAAGGGCGAGATAGGTCATGGGTCGCCAATTGGGTTGGCAATTCACCCATTGACCCTCCCCATCGCCTAGTGAGATGCCCATTTAGGGATCTTACTGGAATTTTGGGCG